TTTGTCAACACAGGTACACGGCGTTCTGTTCACATGTTTGAGCTGAGCTGCCTTGGCAGGACGAGAGTGGGAGGGAGCTGTCAGTGCAGGGACATTCAACGGGTGGGAGTGCTGTGTCGATGTGTGTTTATGTGAGGGATGCCCTGCATAAGGGATTAACCCTGTGGGAGTTTGACTGTGCTCTTATGTGTGCCCAACCATGCTGTCTCCTGCAGCTTCACACATTATGCAGTACACAGAATACAACACAGCACACTCTCCTTTCTGTTCATCACATCCACACATAATCTGTCTTTTTGTCTGTCACCGTTGTTTAGTCTCAATCACACACACACACACACACACACACACACACACACACACACACACACACACACACACACACACACACACACACACACACACAGGCTGGGTCAACGTGAAACAGGACATTATTAAAAAAAAGCCATCAAGACAGAAGGAAATGTTCGGCTCTGAAGGGAAATCCTCCTTCTGTCTCCATAGCAACAGTCACATCATGACCACATTTTATCAAACTCCTTTCCAGTCTTGTTCCTGTGCATGTTTTATTGACTGAGACTCATTTCCACTTCAGGAACCTTTTTTCATTGAGCCAATAGGTCCATTTATCACCGACTACCTCACTAGAAGCATGTCCAACTACAGTATTATTAAAAACTACCTGGAACCTTGTATAGGGAAGGATGGAGGGCACCTAACCCCAAATTTACACCAGGTGCGTGAGCAGGTGTTATGGCAGTGGTGCGCCTCGGTGGGTAATAGAAGCTGTTAAAGTTTCGGACACGTCCCAGAAGCAGGTCAACGCATGACTAAAGATAGGTTTGTGTTCCATCTTTGATTTCACATCTCTCCAGGATGTGTCCAAATCTGCACGTAACACAGGGCAAAGCAGCAAATCACACACAGTATCAGAGTAAAGCATCTGGTGAATTTCAGAATAAAAGACAAATGCAGACTTGTGGTTCCCTACACATTACATGTTTACTGGTTACTGAAGGGCTCCTTTGTTCCCTGCATTTTTAGAGGAAAGCAGTGGTGTGGTTTTAGGCTTGAACCATGAGGCTTTTATCCAGGCAGTGGAGAATAATAACATTATTTATGACACCACAAATCCCATTTATAAAGACTATAACAAACGTGAGAAGGCTTGGACTGGATCACCGACAATTTTGGGAGTGGTTGGTAAGTTTAAAACCCATCATGTGAAAAAAAGTTCAGTAAAAAGTTCAGTTACATCATTTGTCCTGTGAATTTATAACCTCGTGAGTCCGTTTACGTGGATCTCGGCACAGCCTCTCTGTGTCTGCCATGCTCCTGGTGGGGATGGAGGCACTGTGGAGGTCAAAAGAAAACCTCGCCGCTGTCGTAACACGCTGCTCACGCACCTGGTGGAAACTGATCAATAGACTATCTCCAGCACTATTCTATCTGTTCAAATTGTGTTTCTGAAAGAAGTTCCTTCTGTCCAATTAATGGCAACATTTCCAACAGCAGAAGAATAGGATTACATTAAAGCTGCAATAGCAAACTCGGAAAACAAATTAGAAATTTGTTTCATGCCTTTTAACCCTCCCACTGTCCTAATGGGTGTGACCCCGTGAGGAAAGTTGACCATTGAGCAGGGTTGATGGTTTATCCCTTGGGTCCACGTGGCAGGGGTGAGGAGTGAGCACCACCTCACCCCTGCCACGTGGACCTTTATTTATAAAGCGCCAGATCACGACAAGAGTCGTCTCAAGGCTCTTCACATAATAAACATTCCAATACAGGTCAGGTCGTTAAGCGAATCAGTAAAAACGTTCCTTTATAAGGAACCCAGCAAATTGCGTCGAGTCACTGACTCGTGTCAGAGTCTTTACAGCAATCCTCATACTATTTATCAGCAGTGGAGGAAAACTCAGTTTTAACATGAAGAAACCTCCAGAGGATCCTGGCTCAGTATAAGCAGCCATCCACCACGACTCACTGGGGATCGAGAAGACAGAGCACACACACACGCACACACACACACACACACACACACACACACACACACACACACACACACACACACACACACACACACACACACACACACCAGGGCTTAATTTGAGCTGGATCTTGCTGGAACAAGATCCGGGAACTGTCTTATTTTGAAAGGACCATTCCAGCAACTGTCTGCTGGTTCTGGCAACTCACGCAACCAACTTGTGCTATATGCAGGGTTTGAATTACGGGTGAGCTAAAGGGAGCTCGGCTCACCCCAAAGGATGACAGGCTCCCCTGGAAGCCCTCAGCTTACACACCCAGGGGAGCCCGAAAAGATCCTGGTTCTACTTATAATACATTATCTATGTGGACTCTCTGGGGATTATTTAGAGCTGAGAGGCACAGAGCTCTGATGGTTGACACGCTCCAGACAGATGCGTCCTGAGTACAGCTACAGTAACATTCTCAAAGTGTCGCCACCTCAAAAACAAATTTAACATGCAATGTTCATGTCGGCTCATTTCCTTTCATGATTTCTGTATTTTATTTGTGTCTGATGCGTTTTGCTGCTGTGGAGTGGAGCGTATCACCCGTTTCTTCCTCTGGTGGCTTCACCGCACCAGTGCGGCCGGCGCGCACTCCACTGTATTTGCGGTCGGTAGATCTTCTAGGACTGCAGTTCAAAGGTAACTCATAAGGTGGAAAATATGAAGCCAGGTAGCAGTTTTTCTTTAGGATTTAGAGGAGATGCAGGAAGATAATAAACAGAGACAGGACAGAAAAATAGTCACATAAAAAACAAGTTTGTCTTTGTACCTGCTGGTTGCAACAAACAGACACCACTGAAGGTAATCAGAAGTGAGGAACAGAAAATGAAATTATTTTGTCAATGTTTAGAGCAGCAGGAACTCTGAGAGGCTGCAGGCGCATCAGTGAGTTTGTGGCCGCTTCGCAGGGGGAGGGGGGAGAGGGCTGAAGCAGAAACTACCGTTGTTAAAAGAAATGTTAAACTTTGAAAATGTGGGTGCAAGTGTCAAACTCCAGCGAACCTACCAGGACCCCCTCCCCTTCACCGGAGGCATCTGTTTTGCCTTTAGTGAACTTTGGTTTTACGTCGGTATTTGCGTTCCGGGAACAATTTATTTACAAATTAAGCACTGGTATATACCCAGTAGTGTTCCTATGGCTGCATTGTGATTTCTTAGAGAAAAGAATCAACCTAGAGGCTAAAGCTCAGTTCTTTTAACTGGCAGCAAAAAAAGAAGAGAAAACAATTACGCTACAACTAAGAGAAGCAGACCTAAATGTCCAACAGAATGTTACAAAAGAAGGGGGATATTGGAAGGTTTAGCTAAAAGACTCAGGGTTATAACCAAAGAACATAAAGAGGTTTATACCCTCTAAATAACAACACAGCATTTCAACCACAAAGACTCTCACACTCAAACAGTAGCAACCGGGGATCAAATAAGCCCTTTTACTAGAGGTAACTTCTGAACTTAACGAGAGACTATTAAAAGCCAAGTTATTATTTTTCAAGATGTTCTTCAAAAGTCTAAACTCTGAAGCCAGCCAAAATGGAGTCTACTTGGTTACAAGAAGCTCCCAGAGTGAAAGTTCCTCCAGCCTTTTATCCTTCAAGATCGAGGGTAAAGGATTAGTCCAATTGCCTCCACCTGGAGAACTGTGGAAGGATCCACTGGTGATGAGGCTGCCAGGACTCATTGTGGTTTCCATGGATACTGGATAACAGTATGGAGGCAGCCATCTTGCATCCAGGTCTGGTGTTGTCACTCAAGAAAAAAAAACAATGGGCACAACACAACAAAACAGGGGGCAAACACTAAATAAACAGTTATAATAATACGACCAACCATGGTAAACCCCAGGGATTGTAACAGTCCAGATCTGGGTTAACATCAGGTTTTAACCATAGGCCCTATCAAATAATAATGTTTTAAGCCATGTCTTAAAAGTAGACAAAGTGTCTGCCTCATGGACTAAGGCTGGGAGTTGGTTCCACAGGAGAGGAGCTTGATAACTAAAAGATCTGCCTCCCATCCTAATTTTAGATATTCTGGGAACCACCAATAAACCTGCAGTCTGAGAGCGAAGTGCTCGGTTAGGAACATATGGAACAATCAGATCTCTGATGTATGATGGACCTTGATTATTAAGAGCTTTATATGTGAGAAGAAGGATCTTAAAATCTATTCTGAATTTAACAGGTAGCCAATGTAGGGAAGCTAAGACAGGAGAGATATGATCTCTCTTTTTTACACAGTATTCAGTGTGAAATAGGTTAACTCCTTAGCATTAACTAGGTTTAGGTTTGGTAAACATCTCACCACATTCTAAGGGTTATGTCAGATTTCACTCACCCAGTCGTAACCCAGGATATTAAATCCACAAGGTTTACTCAAACATCTATAGACACGACAGACCTTTCACAAAGTCTCTCCTGACCCTTCTCATCATTCTGTCCTCCTGTCTGCTCCTCCTCCTCCCTCTTTTTTCATGTTTGGTTTCTGCTTACTGCTTACGAGCTCACCTCTAGTTCAGTCGAGAAGCTGTGGAAGAAAGAAATGGGCAGTGCACTTTAACATGACTCCGCTGTCTGTACACACACCCACACACACACCCACACACCACACACACACACACACACACACACACACACACACACACACACACACACACACACACACACACACACACACACACACACACACCATCTACATCCGTGCTTTTACCAATCTTTCAAGTTAAACAGGTTATTTATTTGTTTGATTTGCCCCATTGCAACAGTTTTGGTTGTTTACATTGTACTGGTGTAAATTATACCAGATGTGGTTGTATGGTATTCATGGTTGTTTTCCTTTATGGAGCAGCCTGTAATTTTGTTTCTTCTTTACTTTTGTAAAACATTTGTTCTTGGAGCTAAAGACCACCCAGCCTTGGGAATCAGCACCCAAACCTACTGACTGCTGCTGTTCCGTTGCTCTTGACAGGTTTTGATGCTCACTGATGGAAGCCCGGAGAGCTTCCTGTGCCAGCGCCTGCCCGTCCTCTCCTCCATGTTCCAGTTGGATGGTGTCGCCACAGCCCACGTCTGCCAGGACTTCACGTGCTCTCTCCCCGTTACAGACCCACAGGAACTCCGTCGGCTCCTTCTGGATGGAGCCACAGACAGCTAGAAGGGCACCTGAACTCTTAATGGTTTATGCTATTTCTGGCTGTTTCTGTTATTGAACCCAAAAGCTTTTAAAGCTCAATCAGCTGTATTGATTGGAGTAGGTCCATCCTTCCTCAAGTTGTCCCAGATCTGTTACTACAGCCTTTATTAGCAGCTAAATATTACCTCAGAGTCTTTTTAACATCAGGGTTGTGAGAATGTTTATTGTTGAGTTCATATTGATGTTCAGGTGAGTAAGCTAGCAGCAGAAAGGAGCAACACCTGTACAACATGGCTGTTAGCTCAGAAGAAAAGCTCCGATTCTTGAGAGGACGTGTTGTAGGAACACTTCTGTGACCTGCTGCCGCGCTCATCCTCGCGTCACGTGGATCTAACTTTCTGCCTGAGACCTCAAAAGACGTCAGCACGTTTCTATTGAGCCATTTGTGTAAACCAATCACAGCGAACGAGCAGCTTTTTGCCACCAGCTCTTTGTTTATTCGGTTTAATTCATCACAATGCAAAAGAAGACCCCGTCGTGCATAAAGAGCACTTAGCATGCATTCTCTGAATATTAGATTATGCTCTCTTAGAGACCTGTCTGAACTGCTTAAAGCTGTGGAACCAATCAGAAACTGCAGAAGGGAGATGCCGAAGTGTTGTTTCCATATATAAACATCATCTCACTTGAATCATTCAATAAGTAGTGCTGAAGGTTTTAGGAAGTCTAACTTGATGAGGCTAAATGACTTCCTGTTTGAGATTCTGATATCAGCTCTGGTCTGTCCACCTCAAATTCGTTTTGATGATCAGGATCAACCCAGGAACCACCGAGACTTAACTCTGGAACCTGCAGGACCACCCGTGTCTCTGTCCACTATGAAACCAGTTTTATGTCAACATGGACTCAGGACCAAGACAGAAGCTCCTGCTCCAAAAGATGCACCTTCATGCTGGACTGGACTTTTTGTCCACAATGACAAGACGTCTGCTTAGAGGAGTCAAGTCCTCAGAAAGCCAAACCAGCTGTCAAGCATGGATGCTGATGCTCCATGACGGGATGTGGTTCTGGTGCACAAACAGGATGGAAGACCATACCTCCAGGTGCCTCAGCTCCACCTGAGATCATCAGCTGGATGGTTCAAACTTGGACCCAGTTGGGTGTTCCAACAGGACCAGTGGCGTGTCTAGATCTATTAAAATGGGGTGGCCCAGGTGAGGCACAACTTTGTGCATGGGTGGCACCAATGGTTATGCTTTTTTTTTTTTACCCCCAAGCCTTTTGGAGACAATGAAAAGTCTATTTAAAGGTAAATTAGTGTGGTGGTACCTGGGGTGGCCAATCAGATTCCAAGGGTGGCATGTGCTACCCCTGGACACGCCCCTGAACAGGACGATGTCCCTAAACACACATCAGAGCTGGATTCTGATTGGATAAAACAGGCTGTCATGAACCTTCTGAAATCACAAAGACCCAAAAACCTCAATTCTGTTGGAAATCTGCCAACCATGACATCACCAGCTGGCGTCAGCGCTCAGTCATCCACCAACAAGAAGTCCGACCTAGCAGATGTAAAGCAGAAGGGTGTTGGTGGATAGAAAACAGAACTACAGAATTCTCCAAACCCAACTTCAGTAAGCAGCATTTATGTATGTGTGAGCCTGTCTGAATGCATCCCAGCACCTTTCCCTTTGTTTCTGGTGCTTTCCGAGTGAATTTCTGTAGCAGTTTCTCACCTTTTATGACCAAATAAAGGTAAGACCAATTATGCCTGGGGATGAGAGTGGGCATGAGGACGCAGATGTTCCAGAAGTGTTTCATTTATTTATTTATTTTTGTCTGAGGCTCAAGCTGCAGGCTGTGGGAGTTGAGACGTGAGGAGGTTTCTGTCGTGAGCATCGATACCCTGAGGTGAAAGGAATCGCCCTGCAAGAACACCTACTCCATCTGCTCGTGTTTTCTTTTGGCATCTCCTTCTCTGTCTGCTTTATTCAGCCAATTCCCCCTCCTGCCTCCTCCTCCTCCTCCTCCTCCTCCTCTCAGGTCTGGCTTGACAAAGCTCTTGTCGCCTCAAGAACAACTGAAGTCATTTTAGCAGGGGAGCTGCTTCTGTGGTAGAACAAAAAACATCAAAAGAAAATGAAAATTGAGGGAATATTGGAGAAGAAGAGATCCAGCCCACCTCTCAGTCTTCACAAGACAGTTACAGTTCAGCAGTTTTTCGTGCTTCCACCTGATCTCTTTCTCTCTGTCTGCCTCCATCCTCTTCCACCAAGGTTGAGACGGCGCTCATCCCTCACTCTTTTCCTCACACACATTTACACATCATTTATCTCCTCCCCCGCCCGACTTCTATCAGTTGTCTCATTATTGTGCTGCACTAATTGTTTTGATGAGCTGTGCAAGCAAGATTTTAATTAGCGCTACGATTAGTGGTTGAGCTCAGCTAACCGGATGGCCCCACATTTGTTGAAGGCATGATCTACATGACACAGGCAAAAGACCGCTTTAAGCATCACGCCGTTGCTAAGTCAGCTCTTCTGAGCCAGTAGCTTTATTCTGTTAACCAAAGACTGCTAAACTTAGACAGTAGAGAAGAGTTTCACCGAGGGGTGCGCAGTAAACCGAAAATGTACATAACCAGTTTCTGACTCTTACTGCCAATGTTGGTATGTCCAGTATTTAAAAAAAGATTTAAATAAAGGAAGTTGTGAGTAGGCTGCTGATGTCCCACAGACCAGTGGAGTCACACCACGGCTAGTCATGTGACTCCACCCTATCCAGTGTGAGACAAGGAGGGATTCAAATATCATCCATCCAGCAATCTTAACAAAAATTACTTTTAATTCAGTTTGCAGTAAATATCTGCAATAAATAGATGTAGGGGAATGACACTGCCCAGCCGTAACAAAGGTCTCATACTCTAATGTTTCGTTAGACCTTTATCTTTGATTACGACACACTTTCGCTGTGGTGTTGTCTCAATGAGCTTCTGCAACGCCACCAGATTTATCTCCATCCAGTGTTGCATTAATGTTTCACCAGGATCTTGCACTGATGATGGTAGAGTCTGACCGCTGCACAAAGCCTTCTCCAGCACATCCCAAAGATCCTCAATGGGTTTAAGGTCTGGATGATGTCTCATGCTCCCTGAACCACTCTTTCACTCTTTAAGCCTGATGAATCCTGATGTAGTCGTCTTGGAATGTGGCCGTGCGATCAGGGAAGATGGAATAACCTGGTCATTCAGGATATTCAGGTAGTCAGCTGACCTCATCCTTGGAGCACATCCTGTTGCTGAACCTAGACCTGACCTACTGCAGCAAGCCCAGATCATAACACTGCCGCCACAGGCTTGTACAGTACTAGGCATGATGGGTGCATCACTCCATTTGCCTCTCTCCGTCCTTACCCTGATGCACCATCACTCTGGAACAGGTCCACCTGGACTCAGACCAGTTTTAATAAGGTGTTGGACAGTTCTTAACCCAGTTTTAGTCAATTATACAATCTCCTTAGATGTTTTCTCTGCTTGATGCCAACGATCAGACCCTTCTCACACAGACTAACATCTTTTCCACGACCACCAGACTTTCCACTGGTTGTTGAAGAAAAGAGAAGCAGCTCAATGCAGCAGCTGCTGTTCAATAACTTGCTAAAAGAAAATTGCCCGTGCAGTAATTATCCAATAGGAGGCTCCTACCTGTTTACTTAGTTAAATCCGATGTATGATCAATAAAACTCAGCCTTATAGTGGGTGTTCTTTTTGTTACATGGACAATGTGTGTGTGTGTGTGTGTGTGTGTGTGTGTGTGTGTGTGTGTGTGTGTGTGTGTGTGTGTGTGTGTGTGTCTGCCTGCCTGCCTGTTGTGTCTCAGACTGTGGGATAATTAGGCCACAGGGGGCTGAGAAGTCACACACTAACTTAAAGAGGTGGAATATCAGAAGTGTGTGTGTGGAGATGAGTGTGTGATTCTTGTGTCAGAGTTTTGAAAAGCCAGATGTCGTCTCCGGGTCTTTCCTCTTGGATCTTTTAGAAATTCTACTGTAGTAGAAGATTTGGATTCATAAAAATGTTTTACCTATAGAACCAGTAGATGGGAGCAGCTTTGAAACTATATTTATGTAATGGGATGATGTCATCATTAATCATGAAAATGCCGTTTCTTGTTTTCTGACCGTTGTTTGCTCCTCATCACACTCAAGAAGTTCCAGTTTCTAAACCAGCTTTGTTTCCTCTCAATCTGATCTTTTCTTTCTCCTATCTGCTTCTAAAATGTTTTCTATAGGCTCTTGTGATATTTTGGCTTAAGGTGCTTCCTCTGATGCAGTTCTGTGGCTGTGATCAAAGCTGGTGTTTCTGTGTGTCCCACAAGCTGTCAAAAGGCATTTCTGCAATATTCACTTTGGTTTATACTTCTTTTCCCAATCTGTGCCAGATTTTAGAAAGAGGGACTACTGTTCCTACCGTCTGGGGAACATCGCTCAGTCTCCCAGATGAAGTAAACTGTTAGTTGTTGGAAAGGAGGACTAACCGATCATCTACCCGTTTATACAGGAGGAGCGGTGTACATCAGGGATGTAGAACAGTGGAACAGGTCTGCAGGTTAGACCTCACCTGGGCCCTGACTCTGTTATGATGTGGTGAATGTCACTTTTTACCAAGCTGCTCCAAGTCTACCGCCAGAGGTCTTAACCAGAAAAACAATGGAATTCTCCCTCTGTGGTCAGAGTAGTGGAGTATCTTGGTTTTGGTAGGAATGACGGCAGGATGGGCCAGGAGATAGTCTTCAGTCTGTCATGGTGAGAAGAAGCTGAGCCAAGAGGCAAAACTCTCAGTTTACTGACCTCCTGATGTTCCAACCCTCACCAGATTTGGTTCATGAGGGATACCCAAACACAAATTTCAGGATCAACGCCCATCGCACAGGGAAGTTCAGAGTAGAGCCGCCGCTCCTCATCATCAAAGTGTTAGCTGAAGGGGTTTAGGAATCTAAATGGCAAGCAACTTTCCTGTGGAGGTTTCTCAGTCCTCTGTGGACCGATAATGCTGTGGGAGCCGGGTTTCCCCTCTAACACCTGTCAGATATAATAGAGGGAGAAGAGGTGGTTGTGGGATCAACTGATTTTTTTTAGAAAACAAAATCAGGTCTAATGAAGGTTCATGAAAGAAAAAGATTTTTCCTGCAACTAAACAAAAAAAAAAAGTCAAATCCGTTTTGACTTTACTTTATAAAGCAAGTTTTACATAATCATGATAATTATAAACCTGCTCTTTCTGAGGCAGAAGACTCCAAACTGCTTTACGCAGCAGTCATTCATACATTCACACCCTGGTGAAGATGAGCTACGTTGTAGCCGCAGCTGCCCTAGGACACACTGATGGTGGCGAGGCTGCTCTACCATCGACATATAAATACTGGACAATTCATTTCCATAGGCTCCAATAACACGTCTTTGAAGAGAAATGGGAGGTGGCCACCACCGCCATTTTGACCGTGTCACAGGTTCCGTCAAGCCCAGACAATTCCACAAAAGGGAAGATAGGTGGAGCTGAGGGTGGGGCTGTAAGGCTGGGATCAACTGACGACACCCAGTCGAACTAGCTATAAGCTAACCTGAAGCTAACCCTGGCTAACCTGAAGCTAACGCAGAGGTGGGAGCTAAGCTAACGGAGGTAGCAACCTAGCTACAGTCGGAGTTAACTGTGCACAACACCAGAGCTTCTGAGTCAGAGATACGCCGGGCTGACCGCTGGGTAAAACCGGGTGGAACACAGAGGTCTCCGAGAGCTCCACAAGCCGGCAGCCGCACAGCAGACAAGCGCCGCTGAGATCTGAGATGTGCAGAGCTGCTGCTGGGGAGAACTGGGTGGAAAGGTTTCCATCCCAGAGCTCCACAAGCCGGCAGCCCGCGCAGCAGTCAGGAGCCGCGATCAGACAGAGATGCACCGAGCTGTGGGGAGGGGAGAACCGGGTGGAAAACAGAGGTCTCCCGAGAGCTCCACAAGCCGATAGTCGGAACCCAGCTCCACCAACATGTTATATTTCAACCCATTTTCTAAAGTGCAGCATTATGTTAAATGCACTGGGTTTTACCCTATTACATTTAAATTTCATGGTTAAACAGTACATGTTAAAATCCAAGCTCAGCTTGGCAGTGACCTAAAATACATAAATATAATTTTACTTACCGAAAAAATGAAGTGGAGACTCCTTGGACGCTCTATTAGTGCAATTAATGCCACAGCAAGTCATTTTGTCCAACAATTGCACAAATAATATCCAAAAGAGAATACACAAACACAGAGACTCAAAATCCTGGAGCAGTTTCCAGGCCCTGACCGAGGCTCTACTGAGGCCTTTCCACGGAGCTAGCTCTGTGGTCACGTGGGTCTGATGCTCATTAATTATACAGACTTTTAGGCTTTTAATACACTTAAACAGAAGAGTGAGAAAAATATTCATCCCCCTCAGAGCTGTCATTAGTGTAAACTAGATCATTTAAACCAAAAACATGTTTTGGTACCAGGCTGTAAACATGTTTATTTCTTCTGTGAAATTGGTGTTTTTAACATGGGAGTCAATGAGGATTTGCTCGTTTCTGACACCAGCCCCCAGTGGCTGAGAGTGGAACTGCAGTTTTTGGTACTTCCGGGTTGGCCTCAATTTTTGAGCTGCATTGTGGGGGCTTGTGCTCTACACAGGCACCACCGTTTCTCATATCACCACCAGCAGGCAAGGTGGGTAAAGTGCCTTGCCCAAAGATACAACTCACAAAAAATGAGCCTGGGTTT